ACTTGGCCTTTTAAATTTCACTTTTTTATTTTTACAAGGGAGCTATAAAGTTAAAATTGCCAAATTCACCAAAGACCAGGCGTAGAAGTGTGAGTTTTGGGTGTTCCTTTTTGGAATTGCAATTTTCCCCATCTGTCCTGCCTTGGTAACCTTTCTTATATATAGCGTGGCGTGCGTGTTCTGATCAACACTGTGGTTGACGTGTACATTTGTTTAATTTTTCTTTAACTCTTGATTATCAAAACTTTTTCGATTGCTTATTTTCAAGACTGTCAAAAGACTTTTTGAAGGCTTTTTTTACAGCCAAATGTATTTACAAGTTTATTCAAATTGATAAGTTGAATTTATTTTTATTTACGGACTTTGGAGTTTAGCCTCTATCGCAACAGCGAGCGTTCAGGTAACCAGCTACAATAGACTTCTGTCAAAATGTTTCGACTCAAACATACCCATATGAATAAATGGTGAGAAACCTGAAACTTGCCGTTCTGAACTGCGTTTTCAGAAAGTTGCCGAATCTTTGTAGGGTCTCACTCCTCTTTAGGCGTATCGTTCGTGTGTTTTTAGTTTTTCCAGAGATTTACTTGAGAGGAGTATCTAAAGCGTGGAATCCGTAATAACATTTATCATACTGTCAAAATACAAAAGGGAAAAACAAGAATAGCTTAAAATCCTAAATCCTAAATCTTTCCCTTAGTTCTGATATTCAAAAGTCAGTCACATGCATTTCTCAATTTGCAACTTTGGAGCCTGGGAACATCCGTCTATTTCTACAGTGAGAAGGGATGTTAGCTTTGATAACAAGACGAGCGCCAAAGGAACCAAATAGCAATATATAACCATTATTTAAATGGTTAAAAACTCATTTTCCAAAATATGACAACAGAATAAACTGAAGCCACCCAAGGGCAGCAGCAGAACTCTTTTCAGACACTGAAGAAATTGAAGGCGGTTTATCTACGACCAAGCCGTGAAAATTAGATTCTACAAGTCTTATGAACTCATGAACACAAATTCTCATCCACTATCAGCGAATATCATACTACCTAAAAAATTATTAATATTATTATTATTAATTATTTCAATTATCGTTATTGTTATTATTATCATGTTTTATTATTGTAATAATTATAATTATAATTTTGTCAATATTTTTATTATCATAATTGTCATTATTATTATGGATCAATGGTTCGATATTAGGATGTCTATACAAGCTGCTCCATAGCCATTCATTTGGTGTACGTAGAGAGGCAACGGCTTGTTGCTCAGGTGCTAAATTCTCGAGGCAAGCTTGCCTCGAGAAATTCAGCAGCCGAGCAACAAGCCGTTGCCTCTCTACGTACACCAAATGAATGGATATGGATCGGCTTGTATAGACATCCTAGTATCAAAAGACGCTGGATGTGTGTTGACGGATCTCGAGTTAGTTATACTCGCTGGAACGATATGGAAACTAACAATTCAGGTGGAAAGGAGGATTGTGGACACGTCATGTGGCCAAGAAGATGGAATGACTGACCTTGTGCAACTATATCTTTGTGAAATGCGCGGTAAGCCTGAGGAGGCAGTGGTAGGTGCTCGCGCTGTCAGCTCACAGAGGTTAAGCCTAGGAGTTTTCAAGTTCATTGCTGATCATTCATTTGCTTTCGTTCACTGTCAAGTGGTTCTAGGCAATGTAACTTCCCTAGGCTCCCGGTGCACAAAGAAATGTAATCGATCATTAACTTTCAAACTGAGCCAAAACTTAACATTCTTGTTCATCTTCTGGCCTTTGTTTTGGCGGGAGGATTATCGGACCGATGAAAGGTATTACAGGTCAGTTTTCTTAATTAAACTAAGTTTAACCTAGTTATCACAGTTTGACCATCGCGTCTGACATCTCGTTATAAAGACGAAAGTCTCAGTCCTCTGTGTGATGTAATAGCTATTGCAATTTAATATAGACTTTTCCATGCATTTAGGAATACCGTTTCAAAAGCAATTATAAAAATCAAGAGCCAGACGTAACTTTTACAATTTGCTTCTCCTGAATCCGTACTTGCTCTTCCTTTTTGACGTAAGTAACTTGTCGTAGCTAGTCGTGAGCAAATAAAAAAACTGACTCCAAAGGATGATTAAAATCACTGCACACCAATTATTGAACCGTTTGCATTTTGAGTGTTCAGTTTAACTGTTGGTGAAGCATGATTGAACATTCGTTGTCGGCTGATTATCAGATTTGCTCGATAGGTTGAAAGCTTATTTAAACTTCTGCGGAAAGTTTTAAGTTTGCACCAGGAGGAAAAATCTTCAGTAATTTGGGATGTACACTCGTGCGGAGCGAGCTCCTACGGTCTTCCATGAACGGATTTTTCGTTGCCACACCGAAAAATACTGAGGCCGATTAATGTAGTCTTTGACGACATTTGACCTGTATGAACTTGAATCGCTCTCTTTGCTGAAGATTTTCGACAGCTATTACTTACCAGACGTGTACATGTGTCATGTGTCATGCCATCTCATGACCTAAGACGTAATCGAATTGAAGGGATTTCCAAATTCACCGGAAGTAATGCTGTTTTTCCAGCCCGAGTACAAATTTACGTTTTCTTGTTTCCAAAATTTTCTTTTAAGCACTGGTGATATTAAATGGACATTTCAAAACTTTGCCAGGTAAGTGTTCTTGATTGAATAATACTCAGTAATAAACAACAAAATATCGCCTTCTTTATTTCTGCTCCCTTTCGCGCTCTCCCCCCCTGTTCTCCCGGGCTCCTGCCCCTGTCCCCCCCCTCGCGTTTCGGTGACGGAGGTAGAATTAGCAACTAGGCGATTTTAATACCATGATTACACAGTTACACAAATTTTTTTACCGTTTATGTTTATGATTTTCCTTCTTTTAAAATCTTGCACAACAGTTATAACCTGTGAAGTGGGGTGAAAGCTCTGAGTGGATAGTGACCTGTGTATCATATGGTACCATACATATCCTGATTATCACACTACTTGTTATCAGAATTGATCGACCAACAGGAGGCTCAGAGCACAAACTGTGTATCTGAGCTCTCTGAGTACCGACTCGACACATGACAAGTGAGTTAAGCTTGTTGTCTGACGATCGAAAAGTTATTGTTATATTTGATGTCATAGCCATTATTTCTTTGGTTTGTTTCTTTAACACTTGCGTCAAGATCTCTTCAATCTTGACCGGCTAAGGAAATTTTAAAACGGGACGATAGTCATCTTGTAAAACATAATCAGCCTGGCTCATCTAATAGTTCCCTCGTATCTCTCTCATTAGGTTGCAGTACTACATTTGGGGCGAGTTTTCTGGCCCAATCACTGAGGATGGTGAGGTAAAACTGTCGCAATCACGGATCACTTTAATTTTGACACTCAATTGAAATGGCCTCATGAACACAACAATGATCATCACATACTTTACAACAACAAAGTTTATTAATACTTGACTTACAGGTTTTTCTTTTCATACTTTGAAGCCACTGTAGAATTATCTCAAAACCAACATTCATAAAAGAATATTAAAAAATAATATGATAAGTAACCAGAAAATAATTACAGATTTTTTTCATACTTTGAAGCCGCTGCCAAATGATCTTAGTGGTAATGTCCATACAAAAGTACTACAAATTAAAAGAAACCATCCAATAATAACAGGAAGTTATGAGCATAAACTTTTAACTGTTTTTTTTTATTTCAGAGCCACTGTTTAATGACCTCAATACCAATGTCAGTACAAGCGTGTTACATATAAAATTTTATGCAACAAAGAAAAAACTTCATGTGTGATTGACAAAAAAGACTTCAACTGCACCAAGAAAGAGTTTCAAGCTTAAATTAATGAGAAGGACTGGCATGTCACAGATTTGAAAGGTCAACTTGAATTGATTATGTCATTATTTCTGTGAGGTTAAGTTCTGAATATATATTGAAGTCACTCTGATTGTCTCTCAGTCTCCATTACAATGTGTTCCCCCAACATCAGCACCAATACTGATTCACTTAAAAACCAAACTGCCACATGTGCACATGTAACCACTTAGCATGACTGTTGACATTTGCTTTGCTTTACCTCAAAAAATCTTCAAGAAGTAAACAAAGTTTTTCTTCATTTTTAGGCAAGTTATATTGACAAGAGAGTATGAGGCCTTTTACCTGTGAATTAGTATTTGAATAGTAGATCTTTTGAAAATAAGAAAAATAATTTGAAATGTGTTACTTTGACAGTGGCTTCATGAATATTGCAGGAAAAAAGTGTTTTTTTACAGATGATAAACTTCACAAACCATAAGATGAGCTAGTTACAAAATATTGTTTACAATTAAGACAGGAGATCTGACTTATAAAACTACTTAAGGTACATCATATCAAAAAAAGGAAAAGGATTTGGAATGTGCTGTTATTACAACTTACAGTGGCTTCATAAAAACTGCAGGAAGAAATTAATTCTTAAAAATTGAAATCCCATTAAAAGATTGAAGCAAGAATGCACCATGACCTGTTTACAAAACATATTTTGGACTATTTACAAAGGATTATTTACAAAGTGGAGAGAAAATGTTTCATCAAAAGAATTTTTCTTTCTGAATATAGAGCACTCAATATCATATATCATTTTTAGAAAAATCATACTTAAGATACTGTTATAAATGAACTTATCAGAGAACAATTTGTTTGAAAAAAGAGCAGCAGCATGTTCTTACTAAAAGGCAATTCTTGCCTTAATTTCTTCACGAGAATCCGAAACACAAATGACCAATATTCAAAAATAGTAGATGGATTTTCATTCATTCTGAAATGCAAAAAAGAAAATAAACCAACATAAGAACATCTGCACCACTTCATATGACAGAATTATAGACAGTATGTTTTATTGCTAGATTGTAGTATTAAAAATTAAATTAGCTATAAGCCTTGAATTTCAGCTAATTAAGATACAATATTGACTGCAATTATATGAAGTGTTAGAGCCACAATTAATAACTTGCATTTCAAATTTAGGCATGAAGGCTCCATTGGCGAATTGCAGTAATGAGTCCAGCAACTCTTTTTTCATGAGCTTTGTTCTCATCTGTTTTCCTCCAGCCTAAAATCAAAATACAAAACATTCTTTCCTTCATCTACATTTTGGTTTATGCCTTTGGCCCTGAAGAGTGAATAGCATCTAATTTCTCTTTAGAATATTACAAGGATAAAGGAAATGATCACTATGTAAAGAAACTCAAGGTTGTTAAACAAATTCACCTGTCAGCACCTTAGGAAATGTAAAGACAACACTTTGGAGTATTTATATATATACAGAATGATGTTAGGGTGTAAAGGGTTAAGAATCAAGGTTCACTAAACCAGTCCCAATAACACTAACCTGAGAAACTAAGAAAAAGGAGGAGAAACAACTGAATACTTACCTTCCACTTCTGAAAGGCGTCTCAAATCTGAACACAGCAAGTTAAGACAATTTTCAATGTTTTTTCCTTTGTCACTATATTGGCGAAAGGAAAACAGAAAATCAAGCAAATCTGCCTCAAGCTAAATACAACCTTTAGTTAAGCAGAACCACTACAGTCTCTGAAAAACCCAAATAAATAACAAAGACAAACAGTGGAACTTCTCGATCTGTAAGTCAAACATTATTCAATCCATTGCTCACATTTTTTTATTATTAACAATCATAAAAATGAATCCAGATGAACTAATTAAGCAATATATGATAGATAGATCAGTTATCCATATCAAAGGCAGTTGGTAAGCATATATAGGCACCTGTGCAGAGTTTTTGGATCATGGATTACAATGTAAGACTACATTTTAGGTCATAATGGACATTTCGTTTCTAAAATAAGTCTTTATTACTTACAGGGCAAGAAGGTTGTCTTTTCTTTTCATCACTTTGGAATGGAAGCTATCCAATATAAGCCAGCCTTGGTTTAAGCATTCAAACTCTTCTTTGTGGTCTACAGACAAAAATTAAACAAATACATTGTATAAGCTGTGTAAGTTAAGCATGGCTTATAACACCTGAAATAAGTGTAAAAACTTGCAGTATCTCTAGTTTGGGGATTACCTGTTTTTTAATATTTTTAATGCTTTCACTCCTGAGAATGATCAAGACAGAATTTATCCTTACAATATCAAAACAATATAAAGCAGGCTATAAGTCCATTCAATACCAAATTTACTGATCTAATATCATAAGAATTGTACTGCAGACAGTAAAGAGAATTATTTATAAGATCCTGGAGTAAAAGATTTATAACTCATTAGTGGGGAAAAGAACTTAACATAAGTTTTTTAATGAAGAAATGCCTACTCTGAAATTTGACTTAACAAGTGAATGCAACATATTAATTGTATGATTTGAAATTCCAAGGTATTTCACTTTATCATTTTGGAAATGGATCACCCACCTGATGACATGGCTCTCTGCATTTCAAGTTTTACTTTTGAGTGGACTTCTTCCGAAGACAATAATTCATCTTGAACAAGCTTCAGTTCCTCTTCAATATAACTGGCCAACTCGGAGTGAAGCTGGCTTCCACTTGAGGCTAAACAAAAAAGTTGCCATCAAAAATCAACAAAAATAGTTGTAATTCAGAATAAAAAAAAGTAAAGTTATGATTTTTATTTAGTGCTTATAGATCAAAGTTCCAAGGAGTCTTACAATAAAACTGTTTGATTGAAAATAAATCAGATCAAACAAGAGAAAGTAATCAAATTTAAGCCCCTTTCCATTTGGAATGGGAGGCTGGGAAACAAAACAGAATTTACGTGAATTTTCATCTCTCTTGGGAATGCACTTCTCTTTTGTTGCAACTTCATCTTCCTCGATGAAAACTGTTTCTCTGTAAAAAGCATCCGAGGACAACACAGGCAAGGAGTCCAGTGCTTCTTCATCATGTACAACAAGATGTAATACCTCAGGCTGTTCATCAATTTGAAACCTGACACATTTATGAAGGTTCCTTTTACTCTGCACCCCCTTTTTCTCTTCACTCTCTGATGGCAGTCCCTGGTTAGCAGATGAGTGTGGTTGGGGTGGAGCAGGGCTATAATGTGCATGATGAGGTGAAGACTGCCTCCTGACCTTTCCTGACCCCACTTTGGTATTGCTGCCAGATAAGGGATCCACCTGAGGTTCAGCATTTGGGAAGATGCCACCTTGTTGTTCAATTGTTTCTTTATCTTTCCCAACAGCAATGTTTGTACCACTTGAGCTGCCAACTTCATTGCTTTTATCTTTCTTTTTGTCTTCTTCAGTGGCAATGTCTGTATTACTTGAGCAGCCACATTTCCTGCACCTTCTTTTTTTCAAAGATTTATATTTTGCTGTCTTTCCCTCAGCTTTTCTTCTTGCTTGTTCCTCCCTGACCTCTTGCATTATCTCTTCCCATATCTCTTCATCTGTGGGACTGTAAATAATAATAATAATAACAAATAATAATTGCATGAATAAAAACCATTGAGCAAGTAAACTTTTATATTTTATATATTAGTGGACCCTCGTGTTAATGCAGCAAAAATGATAATATCTCACTTTGAAAGTTTACTGATCAAGTTCATGGATCTAAAATTACATTATCATAGTAACTGATTTTTAAACGCCAAACATAAGCTGGATGATCATTACAATAACTAGCTATGGAAATTACTGAAGAATACTCACTGAATGACTCCATCATCTTCCTGGATAATCCACGATAATTCAAACTCAATTTTACCAGAAACAACTTTCTTGATTGCTGGCTTAAGGGTGACAGTAACATCCACTTTTCCAGGCATCTCTGTAATGTAATTGCTGATATCAATACAGCCAGTGGCCAGAAGCTGGTGACGACCACTGGGGGACACCTAATGATTTCAAAGAAGCAAGAGGAAGATGAACAGTTTTCAGATTTACTCCAAACTGTGTGGAGTGAAAATAATGTCAAAGGCAAAGAGCAACTACATGCTCATGTAAAATTGAAAAGGGAAAAGCTTACATTACAGATGTAAATATTCCATTGCTTTTCTTGATATTCTGTCATTTCATCCTCTGAGTTCTACAAATACAAATAAACATTGTTTTAAAATAAAGAAACAAACTTGATAACAACAATATTAGGGACCTTGAACAAATCATGAGAATGATGGAAACAAAGATGTGACAAAACAAAACACCAAATGAGCAGAACAATAGCTAAGCACTAGCGTTTAGAACTTTTTGTGTGTTGAAGCTGTCCTTGGCCAAACAACAACGTGAAGTAATCAAATTTGGTGTGGTCTGTGTATAGGAACACTGACAGAAAATTACTTCAGTTTCAATATGGAACTCAATGTGGCTCACACACATTATGCAGAGGTTGAGATGTGGCACTGTTAGGGACAGTAAAAATATTCTTGTGGCCATTCAGGAAATTCTGAACAAAAATATAGATTTATTTCTTAATCAGTTTGTCTTCCTTGGCATCACTCTCCTGACTGGTTAAGGTCCCTATTAATTTTGCCAGTGCAGTGTCTTTTAACCTCCAGGTAGCGTTATTGTGAAGTAAAGTTCATGTCATGGTTTTGGCAATTTAAATTTAATCATCTGTCCTCAAATGTTTCATAGATTCAATAGCATTTCATAATTTTTTTTTCTCTTCAGCTATCGTACTTTGAACTTTTACAATGAAAGTTATAATAGATTTAACATTAATAAATTAGCATAATATTACTTAGTAAATCCAACGCAAGACGCTAAGCCATATTAAAAACCTTGTGGCTGCGAGAAACCTTTACAACGAAAGATGGACTGTTTTTATTTCAAAATTTCTTAAAACGTAATGCAAATTGAATCGGAGGAAGCAGCAAGCGTAAGAAAAAAGCAAGGAAGGCTTCAGTACGTGTTTAACGAAAACGATGGTTTCAAAAAGTTGGCCGAGATTTCCGCACTTCCCCATAGTTCGTTATGCATAGAGCTCTTGGATAAAGAAAACTATGACGAAAGCAAGCCTTTTGGACCACAATTTCGTTTCCGAATGCTGTGGCACTTTACGGAAATCTGTCCCCAAATATCTACCTCATGTTGCCTTTGTTTGAAACTTACCTTGAGGAGAGTAAGTTTACTATCTACTGGCTCAGGCTCAGGCCAAAAATGAACACCACGATAACCATTTTCAACACCTCCAAACCATGCTACAGGCTGAGAGAAAAAGTAATTGCAAGAAATATTCTTTAACTCAAACTGACGATTAAGAAATCAATAACGTTTAATGAGCTAAGAGAGAAAGATACGAGATCCAAAGTCCAAGTTGACTACCTTTGTACTGTATTTCGCCTTCCTTTTTTTCCAAAAAATTGCAAGCTTGTGTGGATACCTAATTGAGGAAGAAAACACGAATGTCAGCATAATGTGAAAAAGTTGCCATAGTTAACCGTATTTCTGTTTAGTGCGGATTCTACCCTTGTATAAGCGATTGGCGTTTTATGATTCAAGGGCTGAGATGCGCTTACAGCTTTTGTTGTTTTGGAATACGGCAAAAGGCAAAGAAGTACATTGTATCTTCAAGGCAGGCGCCATGATGTCTTTATGCCAAGACTGGTAACTAGTAAAACGTACCCCTCCCTCCCCCTCGCTGTCAATGATTGACCGTTATCAAAAACTTTCTCTTGCAGCACTGCCGAGAAAAATACCAATTAGCTTAGTATTTGTTTTTCACCGAGTCTTGCAACTTCAAAGAGCAAACAATATTCAGTTTGGGGAAAGACCCTTTGTTTCTGTTGCTTAAGTCTCACGCGGTATTCAACAGTGAAATCGAACTCGACCAAATTCTAAAACGCATATTTTTTTCCTCAATTCAATTAAGCATAGTGAAATTTATATTGTTTCCGAAATTGCATGCTTCTTCAGAGTTTAACTTTTGATCATTTTCTAATCAGAAAAGTAAAAAAGAATTTGACTCTAGTGACACAAGCAGCTTCGAAGACTAAACTCTTAAGAGGAAAGAGAGAAAGAAAATACTTTATCGTGTCCCTTACCACTTTTTCTTGCGTAATTCAACATTCAATAGTGAAACAGATGCTGTGATCAAAAAATTATCAGCTCTTGCTTTTTCCCGACGGAACGGTATGAGAACACAAGCCATCACTGCTTCTCACAAAATCTCTCAGATGAACTCCAAGGATCTCTGCTTCGTTCATTGTGATGTCATGTTGCCATGAAAATAATTGCTTCGAATGCATGATGCGCGCGCTCAGTGCACTACATTGACTGCGACTGGTTGGAATAACTTGAAATTTCTCCATAACAGTTGAAGTAGAAGTAACTAAATGAGGAAAATAGTTGCATTTGGGAAAAAAGATGTCCGCTTCTTTACATTTCCTCACTCGTGTACCATTATGGCTTTAAAGTCGTTTCATAACGATTTAGGTAATTGTATTTTTTGTGTTTTCTTCCTATTTATTCATAAAGGAAACATTTAACAGTCAGCTGATACAAGCCTGACACTTTGGTTGAAAAAAGGCGTGCATTAGTACCCCCTCCCCCTTGCCCCTCCCCTTTCCGATCTGATCCTCTCGTTTGAACAAACCAAACTCTTACAATGTACGGAGAGATGTGAGGTGTGATAACAATGCTGAACAAACTACAATCCTAGCCATAATAGTTTAAACTTTTTCCCCTTCCCACCTTAGACCGCCCATACAATTAAAGATAGAATCACAAACTGGACAATGAGAGGTAGGTTGGTGTTTTGATAAAGCTTCATTGGGGTTTCAAGTTGACTATTAACTTACGCTCAAGGAGGACTGGAGTGAAATCTGTATTCATTGTACTAGACAAGAACTTGTGATATCCTATGCTTGTCTGCTGTCAAGAAGTTACATCCATGGGGAGTTCAACAGGCTGCGACACCAAAATTGTTTTTTTTCTTTATCTAAGGGCGTAAAATGAACCTTTCAGATGAGCTGCGAACGTTCCTGTGATTGTAATTCTCCCTGAGTGCTCTATTGTAGTAATAATCACTAAGTGATATTTTAACACTAGAGGCACTGAATGAAAACTTGTCAATACGATAGCAATTTTGTTTTACTCCAGTGATACGAGGACGCCCTTACAAATAGCTTTTACTACTGAGCTCGTAACCACGCCGCAATTTGGAATGAATACGAAATTGAAATTGGTATTTGAAAGCTCCACGGAAATGTTCCTTGCTTCTAACAAACCAAGAAATTGGCGATCAGAAAAAATCACAATGATTTATGGAAGTTAAAATAATAATGATAATAGTAATTATAATACTAATAATAATAGAAATAAAAATAATAATAATAGTAACAATAGTAATGATGATAAGAATAAAGATAATAGAAGAAAACGTAATGGGGAGACGCGGGGTTTTTATTTTAAATGGAGATCGTCTCAAAAATGTTGTAAAGTTGACGATTTTAAAACGTCAATTTTACGTCACGTCAAAGTTACACCCAAACCACAAATTTACGCCAGGTTGATGTAAGTCACCACTATGTATCTTGGGTGAGTCCCAGGGTAATTGAGGTTTTTAAATTATGTAAATGTTTCCGCATTCTGCACCATCAACCTCCTTGGTTTTTTGATATGCCCAGAATCAGTGGCATAGTAACACCAGGCCCCCCCCCCCCTCATCCTCCGCCCCGAGGCTTGTAGTTTCATGACGCTTCTGACATGTTTCGTTAACTACGTACGAAGGTTCGAGCGAGCAAAGCTGCTATAAATTTCCGCCGGGCACACAACAATGGCAGAGAGATTAAAGAGCGCGGTGGGACTCTGTTATAAAATGTGGTTATTCCTATTTGGCTGTTGCTTAATAAGATTTTTTTTTAAGTAATAAAAAGTCTAGTTCTTTGCCATGTCAACCGTTTGGCTTTTTTAATTATCGCTGACCGTTTCAACTGAGTTCTTGTCGATCTGAGCTGGACCAGTTGACCTTATAAACCGGTCACAACTGGAAAAAATGGCTAAAATTTTCATCAAAACCGTAAAAACAAGGTCATGAATCGTTCAAATCTGAAATGCCTATGAGGGTAACAATCCAAACCGAGGTGAGGGTATGGTGACTAATGGGAATAATGAAATATGAGAAATTGCTTTTTTATTGGCAAATCAACAGCAAAAGGGCGAGAAGATGGACTTTGTAAAAGACTGGAGAAATGTCGTGTTTCTTTTTCATTTACATTTATTTACAATTATTTTCTAAATCAAGGTAAAATAAGAAGATAGCGAAAAAAATCGCAATGAAAATTAGGCAACTCAATATGTTCACAATTGAATCAAAGATAATCTCATGTCAATTTGAAAGAAAAAAACTAAGGCGATTACGTTACTCCTTTCCCTGGTGAAGTAATGGCGTGACGTTATACTCAATGAGTCCCAGTCTCCTTGTCTTAGCATTCGGTTAATCATCAGCACGGATATGGATTGATCCCAAAGAAAAGTGACGCATGCAGCCAGAAAACCACCCAACATAACCCACAGCGTTTGAATCGCTGTTAATACAGGTGGAGGAAAGGGGCAATGTTATTCAAAAAGAAAAAAGGAAGAAAAAACGAAAGAAAAAAGGAAAAGGAAACAAAAACAACCCAAAATCATAAAAAAAGGGGAGAGGGGAGAGGATGAGAAAATTGCAAAAAAAATTCCAAACCCAAATTACAAAATACCTAAAAAAACCTAAGTTAAAATTGAAAATACGGATTACCTTAGAATGAGTACCTGGAGATACATAAACTACCTAACTAAATCAAACAAAAAAAAAGCGAAAAAAAACAACAGAAAAAAAAGAGAAGTACGAACAAAAAAAAAGTGTGCAGTGCCAAAGGTGAAGTATTCAGTTACGTGCAGTGATCTTGTAACCGCTTACGTCACTTTCATTACAAATGATTCTATATCAGCGCATCTGATTGGAAGAAAACAAAGCCATTGAATTGAAATACGTAAACTACGACTTCACCTTAGATCTATCTACCTTCAGCTTAGAAATAAATCGTAATCAAAATAAAAGATAACAGGGTCGTAATGAAAAGAAATCTGGTTAGATATTTTGTCCGTGACCCTGAACTTAAGATATAACATTCACAAAAGAGGTATTTATACTCATGAAATAGTTCTGAGCAATTAAAAAAAGACGAGAAAAGATAAAGATAGTTACTTACGTTAAAAAATGAAAATTTTTACAACAATAGAAATTATTTGAATTCATAGTAGTTATTTATAGTAGTCACATGAAAATTTGTTTGACAAACAAAGTAATCTCATAATTCAAGGATTATATCTGAATGATTCTTTAAGAGAAAGAATTTTACATTGAAAATGAAACTGCTCAGAATTTATAGATTTACAAAGGATTTTTAGCAAGAGATTATAATCTCTTGTTCTTAGCCATATACAAACATGTTACCATACAAGCCAGACCAGAAACAAGGAAAACGTTGTGAAATCGAAACTGCAAAAAGAAAAGGAAAGTAAAAACAGAATTAGCCATTGTTATTTATAATAAAGTCTCTTAAATCAACATAATCCAAATGATTCGTGGCAAACTCATTATAGAATAGAAAGTAAGATTACAAGAAGAGAACCAAAAGCATTTCAACTTAATTAAAATACAAGTTTCTTACTTTTAATGCAGTTTGTTATTCAGGCCATGTTGCTCAACTTGAGGATAAGATCCAGGACATTCTTTTCCTGATCTTTGTGTTCCCTGGTTTTCTTCCAACCTGCCGTAGAAAACGTTATAAAACATCACTCACCATATGATAACAGACAAATAAAAGATTGCATAAAAAAAACCCAGGCGTTGGTAACAGAACACTTGTTTAACATCATACAAAAAAAAATTTAGCATTATCACATTGAAGAAATAACGAAACTGATTCTCACCTTTGACTTCAAACAGGTATTTAAGGTCCTGACGTAAGAACTTCAAACACTCTTTCTGGTTTTGTTGTCAAGAACTAAAAACAACAGACGAAAGATAAGGCTTTAATACGATAACCTTTCCAATGGAAATACAATGCAAGGAATTAAAATGCTTAATAAAAAAAGGAGTGCTTATATGTGGTTAATTTAAATCATTCGTTCTGGTTATTGAATAGGTATTACCATAATTTGGCATATTGACTTGTTCCCAACTATCGAGCAAGGTTTAAAACAGCTTTATAAGGATAAGATGTACTTACAGAGTGAGAAGGTCTTGCTTCCTTTCGCCAAGTTCAGAACGGAACTTATTTAGCGCTAACCAGTCAAGTGATAAGCTTTCAAACTCGGCCTCACAATCTAAAAGGGGAAATTAAAGAAGGCTGCATTTAATTTGTGTTTAGTTAGTTACATGCATCACCCTCTATTTGGCGCGACGGTATACCCGGATAACTGTTTCCAGACTTTACCTCTTCCTAGGAGAAAAACTGTTTTTCTTTAGCGTTGCGTGAGAGAAACCAAGCACTTTGAACCCCGAAAGATTCCTCTCAACTAACAGGATAGTTCGGCTGTTATTTGACGAAGGTGAACGGTTGAAAAGGTTCGAAGCTAGGGATTCAGGATAGTGGCTCTCGAAAATCACTGTTCTGCATGTTTGTAGCAAATATGTTAGTTTTTATATATTGACTCATGCAAAGGTAAAAAATAGAAAACTAACCTTCAGTGTCTACTGCTTCTTTCATCTCCAGTTCCAATTTAACCATCACCTTGTGCAATGAAAGCGACTCGTGTTCGACAACCTGAATCTCTGTCTCCACATAAATAGCCAACTCAGGGAACTGATTGCTTACGATGGCAGCTAAATAAGATATCAGAAAATACAGGTGCTTAAATAATGAAAAGGGCAAGCGAATGTATACACAGTTGATATTGAACCAATTAAATCTGTTTGGTTAAGAGCAATCAAAATACAAGCAACAGTCAAGAATAAAAGTTTACTTGGGCGCAGATGGGAATGTTTCTAATAACTCTCTTCGCCGGTTCGGTGGATAAAGACGCACTGTTTTCCAATACTTTCCGCTCATTAGGATCTATTCTGCGGTATGCTTACAGAACAACTTACCACAGCTGTCTCCACCCTGGCACTCTTCCATAGCAATTACTTCCTCGGAAGGTTGTACTTGCTTGATAATTGATCTC